TATAATGTATAGTCTGTATTGTATAATCATAATGTATTGCACCCATTTTGACTCCTGTCTTTTCTTGACAGGAGAAGGCTGCGGGAGGAGGTGGGAGCGCTGCACCAGTGATAAGTGATAACAATCACTGCAGCGTCGCCGGAGGAGTGAGTTACACAATAAATTATATAAATATTTTTGTTATTAATTATTGATATAAATATATAATTATATTATAATTTAAATACTATTATAACGCAAGTTAGTTCGATGAATTCTATTGCTGCCAGCAGGCAAGCCTTGCGACCCAGGCCTGCACGCATCGGCCGGCGTGCTGACGATGCCATGGCCGGCGTGCTGCAGACGACGCCATGGCTGACGACGCCCCGCTGCCATCGCAGCGCATTTCACCGCGCACGGTGGCGCGGATCGAGGCGGTGGAAAGGGCGAAAGTAAGCGAACGGATAATCTGTGTGCAACAAAGTACCTTAAATTAATTTATTTTTGTTCTTTTTTGAACAAGTGCCTAATACTTTTGCGTGAGTTAATCTAAATATTTTTTTGTGCTTACTTTTCAATATCTTTTACATATGTATCTCGTACCATTAGCAATATACTGACCAAATATTAGGTAAAATCTTTAATAATAATTGATAGTCTGTATTGAATAATCGTAATGTATTGACATCCATTTTGACTATTCTTCACAGCTGATGACTGCACTCCCCTTCAACGTAGCGTCGTCGCCTGAGAAAGAATGAGTTCACATCGTCTGGACATCGTCTGGATGTGATGTCCAATAAAATATACTTATGCCCAATTGAGGGTTGTGCATACGAGTCGAATGATAAATTCAATTGCGAACAACACATTCACTGTGAACACCTAAAAGCCGTTATTTATTCCAGCGAATGCTGTGCTTTTAAATCAAACTGGAAGCGATTTAATACGTTAAGTGCGAAACGATCCACCGGTGGGTCGTTTATAACAATACCAAATATGGATAAGAGCCCATAAAATTAGTTTCATTGAAATATACAGGATATTTGTGTTAGTATCATTAAATAAATGTTTGAAATAATAGAAAATGAGTTTTACTAATTAATATAAGTGCAAGTTTTTAATTTGAGGAAAATACCCGCAAATTAGTGATGATGCTTTGAACTGAAACATGACCAGCACATAAGAATGGTTTTCCGCAGCATCCTTCACAAAATTTTGATACTTTTTGGCCTTTCTTTCTGCAACTTTTGTTTGATCCTTCTGACTGGGAAATCATTTTATAGCATCCCACACAGTGCTTTCTTGTCTTGCCATTCGAGCCAGGAGCTTTGTACGAGCGATGGGCACTTGTCTTGCCGTCTGTTTTTTAGATGGTGCTTCCATCGGATATCCATAGAGGAGTGAAAAAATAAGAGATTCTCTAAATTTTACGATTGTCCATTTGTGCCACCCACTGCAGTATTTATTGAAGATTAGGAGGAGGGCGTTGGAGGGCCCGAATAATTGAAATGAAGGGTCGTCGGAAGAATAAAAAATCTGTGACCATTATCTCACGGTCACGTTTTCTCTCAAATAGAACACTTTTTGACCCTGAGATTCCATGGAATATTGAGGATTCAGTCCCATGTACCGGATGATTCCTAGAAATTTTTTTATTTCTGTAAAATCGGTTGGCATCCAGCAATTCAGTCTCGAGTTCCTTGTTAGATTTGGTTGTGCTCGCAAATGCTCTGCATAATAATTTGTTTCACGAACTATCAATTCTATGATTGTATCTGTCAAAAAAAGGGAATAAGCATCAATAGGCCAGATCTTCCCTTTATGAGAAGGGTTAGGTGCGATTGACAGTTCTTCCTTACCGGAAAACGGAAACTTTCTTATTTGAGCCGACACTTAGGCACATACTTTGCTCTGCCTGACCTCCTGTTGCTTGGATATCATTCCCTTTGTTGTTGTCATCACTAATTTCATCATCTAAATCACTTTCATAACTCAATTCATCACACTCTGAACCATCGATCCTCTCTGGTAAGAACGTGTCATCTGATGGCATGGGATCATCACATTCGGGCCGCCATAGTTACAGTTGAGCTGTTACCTCGATGGTGCTGCAACCTGACTGGGCAACGCTACTTCGCGACCACCATGTACTGCTTTCCAGTTACTAGAGTAGTCACCCCACGCCGTATTGTGCAGTTTTCTCTATAGGATCAATATTGTTCCCACGTCTAAATAGCACATAGTGACTTCCAATTTTCGGTTGAGATTGGAATGAGATTTGAATTGCGGTTCCATTCTCATTACAGACGTCTTAGACTTAGAGTATTAGGACTATCGTTAAACTTCCGGTTACGAAACCTTCCGGTTTGCTTGAGAAAGACGCACCTGGCGACGGAATCATCTCTAAGATCCATCTAAATTCTGGTACGCGAATACTCTTCTACAAATTGACTTTCGGTACTTAGAGGGAGGGCGGTCATTAGGAGTGTTTGTACACGAGGCGACTAGTCGACTTGACTAAGATTTGTGATGATTAACGTCTTCGGAGGTGACTAACTGTTGCATTGCACGCAAAACGGCTGAAGTTGTTCAATTATTAAAGCCAGTGCCAGACTGCCACTCGAGTGTGCCCAGTACCGCCTCTGCTTTCATAAAGTGCGTCGCTCTCTTGCTCGTCTCTTAGTCGTCGTAGTAAGCACAACTATGGAGCTCTTGATTGCATCAATCATGTACACGCACGCCTTATTTGACATCTCCCAACGTTGCACTGGCGTCGGTGGACTGTACCGAAAACCTTCTCCTCTTGCATAGCGTCTCAGCCGGCAAAACTGTAGTCGACTCAACTAATCGACGCGACTATCCGCCCCCGTAAATAAGCACCTTAACTGAACTTCTTACTTCATCACACAGAGGCTCAAGTAACTAAGGCTCGGACAGTGAACTGGAACCCTTGCAATTAAATTTCGTTGTTCCACAAGTAAAACGAAGCAGCAAGGGATACTGGAACCATAAATCTATCAGTCACGACCTGTTTATAGCACCACGACTAAAATTGGCCGTTTGGTGGGCGTAGTTAGTACCACACGCCAATTGTAGCAAGACCCTCTTACCTGGATCTGGAAGAGCTGAGCACAGTACGAGCTCATCTGAGCGAGCTCCAGTACAGCACAGTACGAGGAGCTTAGCTCGCTCTTCGTACTGTGCTGTACCAGTCAATCCTCTCCTAACTGAACTCACTCACCGTGACAGTTTATTATGATAGGGCTAGAGTTAACTATGCGTTTCTCTTGTCCCGCCTTAGTCCTACTCGGAACGACAATGTACCCTGACTCTCTGTTACAAATCTATCAGGTGGTCATAGAAAGCGACCACCTGACACATGGTTGAATTGCTAGTTCAACCATTAGTAGCAGTAGATCGCGTCTCGTGATCGATCAACACAGATGCAGTTCCATGTCGAGTAACTCACCAAATCTGTCTTTCGTTTGTTGATACTCAGCCGCTCTTAGTTCTTGGTAAGCCTGGGCCATCTCTTCGACATAATCGGCTGTTCGTCAAAATGGTAAAAGCTTCCTGCTTCGGTGGGGGTTCGCTAAACTAGCGTGTCTTGTCAGCATGTCCAATGCTACCTGGAGCCCCCATTCTACTCGTTTTACACCGGAACTTGGTCACTTTATATGACCCTATACAACGCCCGAAATGTTAAAATTCTACTACTACGTCGTCTAGAGCCTTGTGTCCGATCAGCGAACTGCAAATTTAGCCAAAACTTGCGTCATAATGTAATGCTTTTTTTCAATTCATTATTGAACCATTAGTCAGTTTGGAGTCACGGTAGGGGATGTGCTGGTCTGAATTGGCGAGTCCGCCTACGACTCTGACGAGACTCAACAGCCCCAAATTTATGCTTCGGCCTTCACCAGCCGCGCCTGCAGTTCTGGCTTCTGGTTGCCAGCGAAGTTAACAATCCAGCAGCTTAGCGCTCACTACGTTGTCTCTGCATATATAACAGCCACTTAAGCATACATGCAAAATTTGCTGCTAACTATAGTGAATTATTAGTTTATTACTGCCTAGGATTATATTATATCAAACCATGGAATCAAATGTCAACCAGAAGATTTTCATTTTCAGAAAAGGCTAAAAATTTTTAACAATAATAAATCATAAACTTGAAGGGCGAATTCCTTCAGCTGTATGAAGCGGGACTCTGAAGTCTTGTGTACATCTGCATTGCAAACATTGATGCTACGTCTACTGCGTTTTCTATACATTTCTTTAAACGATAACAAGATGCGTAAAGAAGAAATGAAACTCTGAAATTTTAGTCGTTTAACCTCTTCCTCATCATCAAGAGGGGCCGGGAAACGCAGCAGTTTCGTAGAGAATCCAGCCAATGCGTGAGATCAGCAGGTCGGGAGATGACCTCCACAGGGAGTCGGATTAAAGTCGGATTTAATTAAGTATGAGAAGATATCTAGGATTTGAATCTGGATGAGCAAGTGATTGTCGGATTTTTTATAAGGAATGTCAAATTCCCAAACTGCTTGTCACTCAATATAGTAAGAACTGAGTTTTTGATGACGTTATAAAGATTTTCTTTGTATAGTTTTGGTGAAGTTTGTTTCGACATAAAACAATAAATAACAAACGTTCAAGGAAGGTTTGTTATTTGTTAGGTGAGGTTCAAATTGAAATCGTGAAATTGGATAAATGTTTCTTGAAAGCTGATTCATTCTCTGTTTGCTCCCTGTTTCGTACTGTAGTCTTAATTTTTTTCCGAAGCAAAAAAACGATGAAACCATCCATCTTAACGAAAATATTTCTTGATAAAATATGTAAGACGACAATCAAAATGGAATTTCAGCTGCCGACAGGCGCTGAAATTTAATTATTTTACCACGTATTACTAAATATTTTACCATAGAGTAGTTGAGTTAACAAATCATATTAAAAACAAATTCTCATGAATTTTCTAAAGAATAAGTCCTGTAAGGAAATCGACAATAAGTAATCAAGCCTTTTGGTTATTTATTGAATTTATGACTCACAAGTATTTGAACCAGCAATCGTGGAATAAAATAAAGTTCAGCCTTTCAGGATCGTGTAGCTAAATTCGCCGATCACGAGGACGCACTAAATGATGGAGACGCTTGGGGTGGACGGCCGGAATGCGGGGATTTTGTTGAATGACATCCAGGTTACTTTCTTCAGCTGGAAATGCGGAAAGAAATTTTGCGTTAGGAAAGAAAGTCATTGTAAAAATTTATTACATTATCAGATTAAGAAGTCATTGTTTTGCGTCATCCATAACAGGAATGATTTTTGAGCATGTAAACGTGTGTTTATTCACAATGTAGATTATCTGGTATCACGCATGATAGTCAAGATCGAGTGATCCGTTGTGATTTTCTAAAATAATTTCATTTTGTACATAAAATTATTTTGATTTAATAAATTACATGACATATAAAATCAATAGCATCAACTCTAAAAGCCTCAATAAAGTAAATTGGAATAGCGGATAACATCATATCTCGTGGTTCATTAGCTCATATTAATAATACTCACAAGCCAGCATTTAAGGACAAGGTTTACACCGAGGGAGACGTCTTGCAGAGCACGCTGGGGGAGAATTGCGTTAGTTTAATTTAGTGTCTTTGTTTGTGCTATTTATCAGAGTTGTTGAAAAACTAAATGCCTAATAATGACAATGATTTTTGGGTCAGAACGAAAAATTACTCTAAGAGTATATATTATAGAATAAATACTTATTCTGATAAATTAGTAATGTGCAATGCATTTCACATTAATTAACTTACAACTTCATTTACTGTAATAATCCACTAACCCCAAAAATAAACATATTGAAGCAGTATACATTCGTTACCGTAGCGATCCACATATTTTGTTCGAATTAGAAGGCGTCACTTCAATTGAATGAGTGGATATGCGTTGGATGAAGATTTTTCGTGCTAATTCTAAAAAAAATATTTATTTTAAGTATTCGGGGCTTTGCAAAGAAGTTTGGAAAACGTTTCGAGATTCTTTTGACAATTTAAGCGTAAGATAAATTTACTTGAAAGTCTTTGTTTATTTTAAGTATTCAGGGCTTTGCATCTAAAATAAGTCTGGAAAACGCTCCGAGAATCTTTTGACAATTTAAGTATAAGATAAATTTACTTGAAAGTCTTTGTTTATTTTAAGTATTCGGGGCTTTGCAAAGAAGTTTGGAAAACGTTTCGAGAATCATTTGACAATTTAAGTATGAGATAAACTTACTTGAAAGTCTTTGAACAGGCAACGTCATTCCACCGGTAGTTTTGGTTCTGCCTCATCACGACGCAGTTCTCAGTGCGGGCTCCGTTGGGCTCACCGGTGTTCCAACTGGAAAAAGATATATTTTATGTTAAAGAGAGCCATGTAACTGTTAAGACTGTAGTTTAAGAATGTTTACGTTTAGATGTACCATTTTTAGGAACCGCGTCAATGTTCATTAAGAGCATACGGGGTGAATTTTATCTTGCACAAAGTCTCCTCGTGATTGCCAAAAAACACTCCTCTCAAGTTTTCAGTTTTATTCGAACCTTGCAAGGCAATTTACTTCAGAAGCATTTAATGTTGTCTAAGCCTATAGCACCTTACGGAAGGCAATAGATCCAGCAGCTATCTTAATCAATCGTCAGATATGGAAAGATCGGGTTCCAAAGGCCAGATCCCTTGTGGAATCAGTAATCACGCCACGAAAATTATAAGAATCGGCAACAGGCCATGGGCCTATTTCTTCAGTGCCGGCAATTCTATTCTATTCTAAGATTCAAACTGTTTGGCTTCTTCTAATCACATAGCCCGACGCGAGATTTCGAAAATCTCGAAGCGCTTATTAGCTGCCTTCCAATTATTCGATCCGAATTTAATTTATTGCGTTTATTTAGTGATAGATTTATTAGGGAAAATCAAAGAACGGATGAAGTAAGTATAACATGGAAACCATGTCACGCTGGTACACATTTATCTAATATCTGTTAGACTTATTAGCACCTGATCGTTTAGGTTTATTATATTTAATATTCACTGTGACCAACTCACTTGGTGTAGGAGATGGTAGCTCCTGCAAAGGACTTGAACACTCCTTCGACGTCTATGTCGTTGATGCCGATGTAGGTGTGAGTAGTCAGGATACCTGATATCACGAGAAGACATTGAAACTGGATAAGTCTCTTAAACCAGTGAATTCATCAGCGAAGGAAATGTATTGACTTTTCAGAAAGTTGATGGGCATTATTACTCTAATTTTTAACTCTTTGAAAGGTAATTCACAGAGCATATCAACTGCTCGAAGAGTTTCCTAGACTGTTATTTGTTTGAACGTTTTTCTTTTTTACGTAATTTTGGTATTGTAGATAATAAGGCGTTTGTTGCAATTTTATTATGTACAGTTTATCCTTAACTAGCAAACGTTTTTGTTTCATTTGCAAGATTTAGTGAAACGCCTACCGAGAATTCAGTAAAGTTTAAAGCTAAGTAAGAAATTGAACACTTAAGTAAAGTTTAAGTGTTCAATTTCAAATAGAAGGTGCAATACAAGTTTAACTCAAAAATCCTTTACCCATGTTCGTCAAATTTAAAAGTGAAAATTTTTAGTTGCATTCAAAGTCTTCTCACTATGAAAGCTTTGTTCAACATTTTACGACGCTCTGTAGGTTCATTAAAATAAATAATAAATTAGTAACTTAATCAGTTTGACACGCATGGCAATGCTTACCTTGTACAGCTTCCTGCTCTTCCTTGGAATCAATAGTGGCGAATGTAGCACCGTTGCTGGTACAGAAACTAAGAGCACCAGCCCTGTTGTAAACATCCGTAGAAACCAAGTAGCATTTGTTGAGCAGCATCGTGAAGCCCTTAGGGCAGGTCGCGACAGGGGCAGCCGTGGTCGTTGAGGCCTCTGTTGTCGTGGGGGCTTCAGTGGTCGTTGGGGCCTCCGTGGTTGTTGAGACCTCTGTTGTCGTGGGGGCTTCAGTGGTCGTTGGGGCCTCCGTGGTTGTTGGGGCCTCTGTAGTCGTAGGGGCTTCCGTTGTCGTTGGGGCTTCAGTGGTCGTTAGAGCCTCTGTTGTCGTTAGGGTCTCTGTTGTTGTTGAAGCTTCAGTGGTCGTTGGGGTCTCCGTGATCTCTGGAGTCGCCGTGGTTTCAACGGCCGCCGTAGTTGAAGAAGCCACGGTCGGAACCACCGCTACTTGTTCTTCAATGCCCATGCACGCCATCAGCGCCTGGAGCTCCGCAGCAGATTCTTCCACTGGGAAAATTATTGTAAACATGCTCACTCGAATTTTGGGGAAAGGGTTTTGGAGAGACTTAGTAATTGTTGAAAAAAGTGTTAAGAAAGCAAATTTATTTAATTAGTTGTTTAGTTGACGACAAATATTTAGTACTCGTTTTCACGCAGAGGTCTTAGAATAACTTTTCGCAATTAATGCTTAGTATTTCTTTGCTATTAAGATCGCGAACTCTTTTGCCACGCGAGGGGAATGCATCTGTCTGTTGAAAAAGAGCCGCTGAAAGGCGGTCCTGTCGGCTGAACATATTCACGTATTTCGGCAATTATTTGAGTAGATGGTGGATGTGATCGATGTCTATAACCTATACGATGTACCTATAGGATCGATGTCTATACCTATACCTGGCACAGTCATTCAATCTACACTAAAATTGTGATTTCGATGCAAACACATAAAATAAACCAAAGGTCGTGAAGTTACGAAGAAAATTTAATGAAAATGTGGCAGTTATGGGATATTTTGTAAGTCACCTGTTTGGTAAGGCACAGTGCTGCAACCGCTCAAAACGCCGTTTTTGTAGTTCAGTTTCACCATCAATTCGTATTTCTCCGTCAGCTCCGGGACTCTTTGGTAGGCCACACCGTTGAACCATGCATTCTGTGATGAATCAAGGAGAGATTAACGAATAATATCGCTTAAAGTGAATGATAGAATTTGGTTCATTTTTTCCAGCAGTAAACTAAGATTATTGTAAATAATAATGCATGACTTAGACGTCATTATTCTGATTATGAAAATTCACGCTGAAGGCAGCGTTTGTGTTCATTGTTCCATATAAGTTCAAAATGCGTGGGTGGTTCACGGAGTGTAGTTCTAAGAACACAATACTGCACGACAAATTAACGGACAAGCTTGAAACAAATCAAGCTGACATAAATCAAAATATTTTCGACTATCGTCTCACGTTGGCATCGTCGGCACTGCAAGTGTCCGTACAGGTGACGGAGGGAGAGCCGCTGTCGGCATAGGCCACGTTCACCGACACCGTGCATCTCGACACATCCTGCGCCAGCGTCTGGCCAAGCTGCGCACGAAAAATTATTATCTCTAAATGCTGTAATCACGACACGTAAAAGCGAAATCATTCGTGGTTGAGTTAAGTACTAAAAATATCATATGTGAAAATTACATAAAATTATTTATGATTGCTTTGGAGCATTATGATTAGCTTTTGTTCTTCTACAACCGCGTGAAGTTTTAAATTTCAGTCGCAATATACGAGAATTTGCAAACGTGCAAATGTGCTGAGCAAATTATCATCTCAAAGCATTTCTCTATTTGTAATTAAAAACCTTTTTACTTGTTACACGGAATGAAGCTATATTCCTTATGCTTCATATAATTTCATGTGACAATAAAATAGAATTATAATTGAGAGCTTATTTTCTTAACGATATATTATGGAATGAAAAAACTAGGAAGGAGTTCTTACCAAGCCAAAGAGGAACACGAGTGCGAACTGAAGAGTAGCCATGTTGACACTGCAATGGAGTCCTATTCTGCCGAGGGCTTCTTTATACCTGACTTGCTGTACCACAGTGACACTGCTCGCGTAATTGCCGCATTCAGACGATAATGATGCAGTGTAAGGCCTCTACCCACAAAGCGCTTGACATCAATGCATGGGCTTTGGGCTATAGTCACAATCAAGAACTACGCAATTGATGGCAATGATTGAAATTCCGTTTTTCCCTTCATGGATATGTCTGAATGTTCACTTAGGGGTCCTTGGTGAACTATTGGTTAGAATACGTTAGATTAAAAGAGTTTCCCCTGTGATGAATGCCGTGCAGAACCTGCACTAAACATTCCTCTATTAGACACTTCAATGTTCCATTTAGGTGAGTTGGCATTGCTTGAAATGCTCTTCTGTTAGATCTCGGTAAAAGATCTGGCGAAAATCTGTGCAACTGTGACACATGGAGCTTAAGCTATAATTTTAACTTTTGTTATCTTTAAAAGCAGAAAAAAATATTTAATGATAATATACTCCTATCAGTAGTGTCGCTATGATCTTCCAACTAAACGATGTGCAAGCTGAACAAAACATTGCGTGTAGATAATGTTTTGCCCCTGCAACTCATGTGGAAATCTCCTGAAGGTGTTGGTAAATAGTTCCTAAAAGAAGGTAATAATAATTACTGAGGCGAACTATTTATAACAATAAAATTGGTTTCGCTTTCGAGACATGGAATTATTTCTTCATTTCAGAACTGATTCAGCGAGCCGTTCGATTAAAATTATATTTTCCATTTTATCTATTATAAAGTTAGCAAATTAACTCATAGTGCTTAAAAAAAATTATTCCAGCATCAGCAGATATTATTAATCACACTATCGAAGCTAGCAGTTCATAATTACATCATATTATTGCTAACGTTTATTGTTTACGTTCGTCATGCGGAATAATACCCGAAAGAAATAATTGAGTTGGTGATTTAAAGTTCCTTACATGACCTACTTCTGTTCTTAACCACTTATGCCACATTCACCAACGAAATGTATTAATTGCAAAGCTAATCTTCTAAGGCTAATTAAAAATTTTTGGTTCAGTAACTCTGGCCAACACAAAGAAAATAAATATTCATGTCCTATTCGCAAGAAACAAAAAAGGGACAAGGAAAATGTCTTCCGAAAAGAGACTAGTCTCGGTAACTTTTGGTGCCAAACGAACTCCAAAGTATGATTCCAATCATTCTTAGAATTTTTACAATCAGTAAAAATGAATTTGCCTTAAATAAACTAATACTTGACTCAATTTTCACTTGACTCATGTTTCACTTGACTATACAGGAACCGGTTACAGTGAATCTAACAAATGAGTTTTTGTCTCAATTTAATATCTGTGGACTTCTCCAGTAATATAAGGTATTATGGGCTGTGAATGGACAGAAATGAATAGTGTTACGGTCTTTAGTATCCTTGGTATTTGTTTCGGAAGTAGCAGTCGCAGGCCACGATGGATCGCCGCCTCTGATTATCGTTCATCCGCCGTCATTTGAGCCAGCTGATGCACGATGCTGTTGCTTGCTTCTCGCCGCTGGTAGTGTTGCAGGGGAGGTCGATCTGGGATTGTGCCCAGGAACACGTCCAGTCGTCCCTTGAAAGTCTCCAGGGTGAACTCACCCATTCTTAGATCCTTTAGAATAGAATAGAAGTGTCGGCGTTGAAGAAATAGGCCCATGGCCTGTTGCCGATTCTTGAACTTTTCGTGACTTGATTCACAAGGGATCCGGCCTTTGGAACCCGATCTTTCCATAGCTGACGATATCTTTCCATAGCTGACGTTAGCATAGCTTTGGTTGGACGACAGCCCCGACCTTGCCGCGGAAAGAGATCCTTCCCGCAGGAATTGAAATCTGGGCGCTGATCTGTTACGTAGTGCATGGGGGCAGAAAATAAAACATAGTATTTAGTTGATACATTAGAATCGGTTACAGAGAGACGAAATCATAACAGCGACTGATCAGTAGCGCTACAGAGGTACTTTTCACGTACGGACAAGTATCAACTTAATGCCATCATATTATTGTTTTGTTTATAATGTATGAGTGACAAAAAATACTTTTTATTTACCTCGATACATTTGTTGCTTTCGTAGGGTTGGCCGATGTCATTCCATTCTACTTCATTTCCTTCTATGTGCAATATGTACGCGAAGTTTCTTTCATTGACCCAAGATTAGTTATTAACATCGGATGTCTTTAAAGGGACATTGAATTGGGCAGCAATTCTCCCATTGTGCAAGTTATGACGCGCTCTACCAGCGCGCAAAGCGTGTCATAACATAACTAGAGTGCGTAAAGAGTTCATCTTTTTAACCGCATTCGCTCCTCAAATGAAAAATATTTAAATTACTGAATCCGTGTTTGAAATCGATATTCTTCTTTATTTTTAAAATCATTAGAGAGAGATTGGAGTTCTGTAGGCGTCGTACAGAGGACTGGACTCGAGGCATAGAAAATATCATTCCGGTCCAGACGCTCTTACTGTTACTGAACACGTGTAGTGAAAATTTGTAATGGTTCTATTGTGAGAAAACATAGATTTTTAAATGGAATTTTGTGTAATCCTTTGGCGCTGATTGTTTGGTTTCTGTGTAATTGACCGTTTCTCAAGTTTGACTGAAAAGAATCATATTTTTTTCCTACTTTGTATTATACGAAAGTGGAACTTCCCATTATTCAATTTTGGAGAATGAGTGTTGCGCTAGCGGCTGTTTCCAATCAACGTGTTACTGTCAGAAAAATTGTAGAACACAAGTTTTGTCTGAAAAAAAAACGATAACAAAGAAAGTCTTGTACGCGCTAAGAGCTGGACGTAGTTCTGCAGGTGTTGAGTACGGCACTGCCATGCTCAATGCTCATAGTTCACCGCAACGTTCAGTTGACAGCTTGATTGAATGCATCCTAAAACGTAGGAAATTTCTGGAAACAGTGCAGCTAATGAATAGAGGCCACTTGAAATGACCTCCAAATGTGAGCTAACTCCTGCTGATTGCAAACAGTGCATAGATATTGTTCTTTTGAATGGGCCTCTTTTAGGTCTTTAGATCAAGTATTGGAAACTTGGCGAGTGTAGTGCAAGTTTAGGTTCATGCTTCACCTTAGGCAGCAACTCTGTAGGCCACTCGCTGCAATAAAAGTTCGAAAATTTTGTGAGGAATTCAGTCTTGAGCCAACCTCTGACAGGAATGACCATGGCTTGTCTAAAGATCTTCATTTTCGTGGTAGCTGTAAGTTTTATTCACCATCGTCCATGTCCATATTACGCTACCTCTCAAGCTACCGATTACTATTAGCTAAGAATATTTTTTAGTGTTCTGATTTACTACCGTTATTTTATGATAACGATAACGTCGTCTCTGAACATTTTTACAGATAACACTCAATAACTGTTATATAAATATCGCCTTCGTTTAGCTGTTTCTTAGACAACGCACTTCCTCATAATTTCATAAATAACGATTTCTCATGAAAATGTTTTACAGATAACGCTCTCCCTCGAACGTTTTCACGAATATTTTCGTGAAAACGTTCGCTTGCACGGTGAACGCTTGCAACGAAATATTGCAATTGATTCTAGTTGTCCTTGGTAGTATCGTTAATCGAGGTTTATCTCTTGGTTAGCTGTGCAGCGCTGGTCGCCTCACACTGGCGACTGACTGCGATGTCACCGTCAGAGTCGACTACCCCACCGGCGCAGCGGCCTCGCCCTTCTGCTCCTTGTCCTGCAACGACGCTTCCAGCGTGAGTCTCGCATAACCCCTCTGGTGGAATCAATCTATGAGATACAGGCTCCCATAATCGATCTTAATTTCTTCTTCGTTGCCAACGAACGATAATTCGAGTAAACTATTACTTTTCTTACCAATATTGCTTTGATTTTTCTCAACAGTCTTTCATATTATTTTGAATTTAAATTGGGTTAATAAAAACAACGATGACAATCGGATGCTCACATTTTTTTCTGTCGACTATACCCACCCTGCGATAAATTTGTTCCTTTGACCAGTAATTAGAGCGCTTGTAGTACGTTTGAAAATGGCGAAGCGTTTTTTTAACCTATTCTACGACTCCTAAAGAAATATTGAAAGAACAATAGAGTTAGAAATGTAAAATTACATCCCCTTATTTCCTACCGTCAATGACACACGAGTCGTCATCCAGCAGCTACTGCTTCTAACTCGCCGCTCGTTATATAGTCAAAACCGTATTGCACTGGTCACAATTCCGATTTGTATGGATCAATCACCACATAATAACTAAGGAGCTTTTAAGATCGCTCTAGACAATTTTGACTAAGTTTTGTTCACGAAACAGATAGTTTCTATTGCAGGCCGGTGACACAATTGTTGTCGCCGATTGTAAGGTTGTCGCTGAATAGAACCAGACACTTTTTTTCATAGGTGCCGTGGCGGCGATATGTGCCATTGATAGTAGTTGATGTAGTTCATGGATACATTGAATTCATTATGAGATATAATGTGCCCTCTGAAGCGAGGATCACGCGTTATAGAGTTGACTGTTGCAGCTCTTCATCTCTGGCGTGGTGTACAAGAGGTTCGCGCAGCTTCAGGAGACTAGCCAGCAGATGGTGGAAGCTACCTTCAGGAACGGTCAACTGACTAAATGTGCTCTCGTGCCCTACCTCACAAGTAATTTTTTTAAATTCCAATTATATTGCATTTAATTCTCTGTTGTGATCTCAGTATAGAATTTCCGATTTAGAAAATCAAACTTCAAATATCCTTTATACAAAGGTTTTAATCTGCCAATCGCTCAACTCATCTGCTTCGGTATCCGTTGAATTTATTGTTTTGCCGTCCTGTTAATCGTTGGGCAACTTTTTAAGGAAGAAAACAAGTATGCCAGATTCCATCCCGAATTAGTGATATGTTCAACTTATCTTGTACAAATTTACAGGTGAGCAGCTTCTAAGTGAGGCAGAAACGTTACAAGCAGCGGTGAACGCTTGCACCGAACCTTCCAACATCGAACCCACGACTGAGGCTCCAGTGTCCACGACTGAGGCTCAAGTGCCCACGACTGAGGCTCAAGTGTCCACGACTGAGGCTCCAGTGTCCACGAACCACGACTGAGGCTCCAGTGCCCACGACTGAGGCTCCAGTGCCCACGACTGAGGCTCAAGTGTCCACGACTGAGGCTCCAGTGCCCACGACTGAGGCTCCAGTGCCCACGACTGAGGCTCCAGTGCCCACGACTGAAATTATATTCTCGACTGATGCTGCAACAACAGAAGAGGCTACGACAACACCGGAACCCACAACCACACCTGAACCTACCACCACACCGGAAGTAACTACCACTCCTGAACTTACAACAACACCTAAACCTACAACAACACCTGAACCTACAACAACACCTGAACCTACAACAACACCTGAACCTACAACAACACCTGAACCTACAACAACACCTGAACCTACAACAACACCAGCTCCCACAACTACACCAGCTCCCACAACTACACCTGTACCCACAACCACGCCTACAAGCACTACCACGACGAAGCCTACGACCACAACTACCACTACGACCACTACGACAACGAAGCCTACGACCACAACTACCACTACGACCACTCCCAAACCCACCACAACAACCACGACGCTGCCTCCCATCACTTACTCGTGTCCCTCCGGCGCCGTGAAGTACAACGATCGGACGTGCTACAAACTCTTCACCACACCCAAATCTTGGAGTGACGCCCGCACAGCATGCCAGGCTTACGGCGCTACGTTGGTCCGGATCACTTCCTTAACGGAGTTCAACTACCTCAGAAGTGAGTGTAGCAGTAGATCACAGACTCATTTATGATGCAGACTTCACAAAGATGAAAATTTATTTCTGGCAATGGTTTCACGTTTCTCACTCACGACATGTTCACGGCAATGTCGTTGGAATAAAGCCGTGTGTAGTTTCATGTACAAAAATGTGCGAGAGTTATGAAAATTATAACTAATGATGCAAATTTGTAGGACTGTCGAATCCTGCTAGTAATCTTTCAATGACATTTTCAGTATTTACATTTCTCTTGTTTTTTCATATCATCTAAAATTAACAAGCCGGTCGATTGCATTCTCTTGTCCAACACGAACTCGTTCAAAAATATTACGTGATAGCAGACTTATATAAAGGAAGTAGGAATCGTGACTGCCATGAAAAAATTAAAATTTATCAGTACCTTTCATTGAACAATTAATTTTTGGCTTTTTCGAATTTAATAAGTTGATGTACATATGTGTCTCTCACCTGGAGCACTGATGAAGCTAAGAGAAAATTCGGTTATTTGCTTTTCATCGACAGAATTCCTAAGTACAAGCAAGAAATATTTTCCCGATAATGAAAAGAAACAACCGCTGGTAAACCGAATACGTCACACGAGGAGGTCGATTTGATTTAACAAGCATGGCCAGCGAGAAGCAACTCTGCAATGAAAATCAGTTCACGATAATGCATGCGGTACAAACTAATTATTAACTTGAATTCTACAATTTCAGGCTACGCAAGCTCCTACTACTTCTGGACTGACGTCAATGATATCGCCAAGGAAGGAACCTACGTGTTTTCCAACGGTGGCACTCCGTACATCACGTGAGTTCACCAGTTGATAATTTTTTCCAGCCGGCAGTAAAATTCGTTCGACAAGTCATTTACAATATAATAAAAATAATTTTACTGATATGGCTGTTTCAGCATTTATTAGGCCTTAAGTTGGTCGCCGATTCATGACACTGCAGAACACCACAGCTTGTTGCGATCTCGAACTCGCAACTCACTGCTCCAATTTTGCAATGTTTTAATCAATCGCCCGGCCTCCTTGCCGATTCTGACCAAAAACTGGCGCACAGAGCTGGGATCAAACCCGCACCTCTCTGCTACACTCCTGGTATTCTGACCAGTAATTTCAACACCTGTAAGGTTGTCGCTGAATAGAACCAGACCTTTTTTTATATTTATATATTCTATTAGTTCTAAACGTTTGTTCTCATCGCTTCATCAATGACAAGTCATGGAGAGTGGCCAGGCACCTCATCATGCGAGACATTTCATCATTTTGGAAATTCATCGTTGGGACATTTCATGAATATTGCAATTCACCATAATTTTCATTAAAGTACATCAAGTGAATTTTGCAAACATAAGTGCATGTAGGTTAGGTTAGGTTAAATTAGTAAACTATGGAATGTCCACTATGATGAGGTGTCAAGGAAGAAGAAACCGTCGTGGATGTGCCTTGTACGTGCGTCGAATGAGTTCATGCAGGAATAAATAACGGCTTCTTTTACGAATTATTACGTAGTGAATTCATAATCCCGTCAACAATCCGAGACGATCACTGGAATTCTCGATTGGTTCCCGTTATCGACTCCCAAGATTAGCATGCTCTAGTAATTTCTCAACCCGCAGGACAACTCGGTTTTATCGTCTTTCTCGCATCCATCTACCAAGTGTCCCGCTATTTTGTTCATAACTATCCAAGTTTTTATTTACTGTGAGAGACTCGAGTGATAACCTGATAACTTGCGTGCTGGCAACAACAGGATGATCAGCAAATTAAAGGTGATCACACTTGCATTTATCAATTTTCACAGTTGGGGTGTGGACAAGCCGAAGGAATCGAAGTGGTGGTACATCAGCTGGTTGCAGGGCAACCTCGACTGCGTCATGTTCAGTCCCAGCTCAGGAATGAGCGACGAGGATTGTAACGACAAAAAATAGTGAGTATAAGCTAGATATGTTAAGGGCTCCTCACATCAATTATGCAGTTCTGCTACGCACGCAGCAATGGTTTACTGCGTGCCGGATAATCGCTGCCATAGAAACAGCAATTTCTCCATAGGCAAAAAATACGATGAATAGTGGTTGATCAGGCAGCCACTTGAGCCAAATCGTTAAGACCCAAAAGATACTCTCCAGAAATGTTCAATATGACATGTTCGTTCGTCATCAGTTCAGCCGGCAAAAAGCCTAACACTTGGCAATACCGTACTCGGTCCAATTAACAAATACCAGCATCTATTTAATAGCTATAATAATCAGAAACGTGTCTCGCATTAATTAAGCTTCCTATATCTTCTGTGCAGCTTCGTATGCCAGTCGGCCACTATTCCTTCACGCTAAATCAGAACAAGCCTGTCACCTGTGGATCAAAATGACGACAGAGTAACATCAGTGATCATCGACGCACACCAATGTTGATGTAACAAAAATAAACAATATACAGCTGTCATCATTGAAATAAATTTGCGCATTGACAGCCTTATTTCATTTTCATTTAGTAGGAAATTGAAACAAAATCAGAGAAATGACCCCTTTTATTGGCAGTGCAACATAGAACACGGTCAGAAGTCATCAGTGCATGTCACTGTATGCCTGTGAAGAGAAAAGAATGAATCAGTAGGTCAATACGCGTGAATTGAGTTCGAAAATACATGTGTTGCTGTTGTAACTACAGAATATTCACTAGGGCGTAAACAATCAAACCAGACCGTTCTACCCTCCTACTTTGAATACCACCTCGTTAGAACGAGCGGTGTTGGCTTTCTTCTCGATATTCATGGCCAACATTTGCGTGCGGAAGCTCAGGTTCTTGGTCTTTTCAATCAGCTGCTGGTACGGCGAGATGGCTTGCGTCCCCATCACGACGTGACCCTAAAAATAATTTAAATATCAGCACATCAACTTTTTTAAAACACATCAATTTCGTACGAGGTTTAGCTCGTCCATTAAAACTAGTTAATGAACACGCTTGCCAAACTTATATAACCTAGGGATGGTGTCCCAATAAAAGATTTAGCCTTGGCAGCCTATATATGTAGGGAATTTGGCAGCCTTGTACAGCATAAATATTTGCATTTGCCTTAGTTCTCCACCAAAATTATAGGTACTCTATCAGCCAACCTGTTGGGAGTCTATCTTGGCGTCAAGCTTGGCCTGCCTGATGAGGTCGACAATCCAGCGTTCCGCATCCGGCGGTGTCATGTTCAGCTTCTCCGCCAACATGCTGAACAACAATGCAAGTGTTAGCGATAACAGAGCTATGCTGCTACAATAACCTAACCTAACCGAACGTATTTCAACCTAGAAAGAAGGCGAAGCATCTGAGTCCAGGAACTAGTTCCTGAAGTTAACAGTGATTGCTCAACATCGTTACAACAAAAGCAAATTATTCTCATTAGAGCTTGACTAACTTGTCCTCGTTCAACCCTACGCCTGTCGAACAATATTTGCAGCAGGACAATATGACACTATAATTTATAGAGCTGAGAGGGAACTATGAACGAAAAGGTAGCGATAGGAAAACTAGGAATGGAAGCACTAGGAAGATAGAAGTGCTGACAGTTGCAGCTAAGTTCAATAAATACGATGACATTTACAGTAATATCAAAGAATCAGACAGCAGTAGCATCACAATAGTACGATAGCAGTACAATTACAATAACATGGATGAGACATAGTCTTCAGAATGAGTTGGACGTGTAGAACCTTATCAAATAAATTATTTTGTAAGAAGAGCCAAAAAAACGAAGCAGTCAACCTAACTCCAACTTTGAACATTCAGGATAGAGCATAAGAGAGAGGTAACAACTTCCTCTTCCTGATCACAATAACGCGCAGTAAGCTCCAGTGGACAAGCGTTAGCCGAGACTATGATACATTAGCACAACATAAAATTTTCACAATGCAATAAGCACGAGGAGACCATGATATTATGTCGTCATTTATGTTTTAGAACTAGAGTGAAAATGAAACCAAATATCAACAGTAAATGAACTTTCAAGACACTATGCAATATCGAGAAAGACTTAATCCGAACTCACTTGATGCTGATGCATTGATGGATCCTGCAGAAGAGCTCGAAGATCATGAGGCGAGCATTGTCAATGAAGTCCTTCATGCAAGCCACCAAGAAGAAGTCGTTCTTTAGAACATCAGCACAAAGCTGCAGTTTTTCCTGAGCCGCATCAAAATCAAAGTCCACGTAGAGACTAGCCAGGAACTCAGTGATGGGGTCACTGTAGTTGTAGTTTTCTTGCTGGATCACTTTCACCAAATCCTGCCGCAAAAATTAAAATATTCAACGGCAAATGCCTTCAAGCAGCTTTATTGGAAATACTAACGGAATATAAGCTGCATCATTAAATTGTAAGGCCAAAATTATGCGAAGCGAATCAATAAATATAGACATGGCATGATGAATATAAAAGTAATTTAGCCTGGCAAACTGGAGAATACAATTTAGGCCACTCTTTGTTTCATCACACTCCATAAAAATTTTAAACAAATGAATACAATAAAGCGTGGCGTCAAAATTAGGCGAATTCCACAAGTTAAAATACATTTTCAAATTTATAAGATGTTTTGATAATTAGCCAATTAACAGTTGTAATGAAAGTTAGAAAGCGAATGAAGAGAAGCGATTACCTCGACATGTAACAGGAAATGACGATTGTTAACGATGATCATCACTAAGATGTGGGAACCAAATATAAAGTCAAGCTAATCAACTTGCAGGTGCCCAAATAATTAGCGAGTCTTATAAACTTGAAGTATATATGCCAATACAGTAGGTATTGAAATATATAAGAAGCTGTCTTCTTACGGTGCTATTTATTACGTAGGTAGCTAGTACCAACCAAGGTAATGCCTAACTAACTGGCTATAAAATATCTTGCTGTAAGCAAGGCCTTTATAAATCATTTACCAACCATCTGCCTCACTACCCACCACCTGCACCACTACCTACCACCTGCACCACTACCCACCACCTGCACCACTACCCACCACCTGCACCACTACCCACCACCTGCACCACTACCCACCATCCAGCAAATATAAGGCAATGTACTAAGGATATGGCAATGGACTAAGGATATGGCAATGTACTAAGGATAAGGCAATGGACTAAGGATAAGGCAATGGACTTGACCAAGTCTGACCCTGAGCGCCTGTCGGCGGCTGGACTTGTTGATGACGACGGCGGTGGCGAGGTAGCGCAGCACGTGCGGGCACATCGTCTGGATGGCGTTGAGGTACTGCGTCTGGTACAGCAACATCTCGATGATCAGCTCGCGTCCTGTCATGAGACAGTCATTAATTACAAGAATTCCAGTGCGACAGTCATTAATTGAAAGAATTCCTGTGCGACAGGCACTAATTACAAGAATTCATGTGCGACAGTCACTAATTACAAGAATTCATGTGCGACAGACACTAATTAAAAGAATCCCTGTGCGACAGTCACTAATTACAAGAATTCATGTGCGACAGACACTAATTAAAAGAATTCCTGTGCGACAGTCACTAATTACAAGAATCCCTGTGCGACAGTCACTAATTACAAGAATTCATGTGCGACAGGCACTAATTAAAAGAATTCCTGTGCGACAGGCACTAATTAAAAGAATTCCTGTGCGACAGTCATTAATTGAAAGAATTCCTGTTGCAGAGCTCAATTTTTCTGGAAATTATGAAACGTCTAATTTAACATATAATTAATGAACAATTTATCACGAAACGCAAAGCTTTGAGGATTTAGGGCGAAAAAAGTTCAGGAGCATTTTGAAAATCGAAATTGTCTTAAAGATGTTTCATTACAATCAAATTGCTGAGTTTTTGAGCATCTTGAAGTGTTTTTTTTCTGCAAGATAATAAAATCTTTACCTTTGGTATGGTTAAAGAAAACGAATAGAGACCAATGGATGAGCCAGGTGCGCTGCTGCAGCGCCTGCAGGGGCGTGCTGGTGGTCACCCCAGAGTCCAGCACCTCTTTTAGGCGGTTCAGGTCATCCAGGGCGTTCTCCCAGTCCTGGGTCAGGATTTCTGTGGCCAACTTGCCCCAAAGAGAGCTCAGGTAGTTCTGGAAAATAAATATTATAACGTTAAGATCTCAATAACAAGCCATTCAAAGCAAAACCTGCAATTATGATGTTCAAATTGAGGTCATAATCGTTCAGGTTAACAGCATGAAGTCACAAATTGAATAACTGAATTCTAACAACTAAATATACTCAATCACTGAATTCTTCGTAGACACAAATTAGCAAATAATTTCAACCATCAACCTCAAAAATTTTGTAATGCATCAAACTCAGTACTAGAAATTCATTGAAAAAATATACTCTCAGTAAACACTATATACTAATAAAGAAACATCAAAAGTTAATTTACACAGAATTCGATTAATGTCTACTCTGAGAAGTTTTCTAGGCTAAGGTCAAGGAGTTGCTGTAGCTGACGCCTTATATAAAATATAGTTGATGTCACAGCAGATCATAAGAACATCAGATCGTTAATGTCACAATACAAAAAGAAGAATTATCAACAAAGTGCATTTATTGGGCAACAGCTTTGCAGAACCTCAACAGATGGCGCCAAATCTCAGAAGAATAAGAATAGATGCAATGATGACTATCAGGCAGACTGCATACTTCACTAGAAATGTGGAGGACACCCAACTACTTTGACTGGAGTGCCGGTTTCAATTTCTCCGTGCAAATCTTGTGTTTTTCAGGCACTATCACCAACCTAGTGGATCAGCTAGTGGAATGGCATTTGTTGATGTAATTAATTGTGCATGGTAAGCTCAAGAATCTTATCACCAACTGGTACATCAGTCAATAGGAACTTGAACTAATACTCCTCTATCCACTAATAGAAGGAACAGTAGTTAACATTTGTGGGAGCAGGAAAATTGAAATATAATAACACAAGAATTTAACTGGCCAGGGATTATAATAGAATATTTTTAAGAGACAGCTGCTCTAATTAGTTGGTGCATTGGTACATTTACAAAATATTTTGTTTTGGACACTAAAATTTCCCTAACAATTACTTTGGTTGATCCACATAAATGTTATTTAACAAATAATGATTTGTCAGTTGATAATAGTTAATGCGTGACTGTCATCAGAGGTGGGCAGTAGCGCGCTACATGTAGCGGCCGCTACATTTTCAGTAGCGGTAGCGGCTCTACATTTAGGGCAATGTAGCGGTAGCGGTAACGCCCGCTACAAAAGAAAACGTGGAATTAATAGAAAACGGCAAATAAGGGGTACTCTAAAAAAGTTTATAACTTTTGCAAATCACATGCTACAATGTCGAGACACATATAATTCGATTTATAACAACATTATCTAGCGACTGTAGAGCCTCCGTTTTTCATTTTCCTCGTTTTTTTTCGCGTTCTTCACATTTTTTCACATTTTTACCCCCCACCTTCATCCCCCTCCCATATATAAGTCAAACCATGCACATATTAAAAAAAGGCGTCTAGAGTCGCTAGGTATTGTTTTTACAAATCGAAATGTATGTCTCTCATTGCCGTAGCTTGAAAACTTTTGGAGTTAGAATTTTTTTAAGATGGCGTTTTTCGGATTTTTAAATAGTTCAGGGGAGCCATATAAAGTAAAATTCATTGAAAACAGAAGAATATGCCCAAAAAGTCTTGATATTGTAGCCCAAGCTTTCCCATTGCCAATTATTTGCATTCAAGGTACCAGCACGCGTCTTTAGACCTATTTATGTTTAATTTAACGTGAATAATAGGCTATAAATGGGACTTTTTTTATATAAATATATAAATAATATTCATTTTACATAACTTTACAACTGCATTACGCAAAAACTATTGCATGAACATCCATGGTAGTAGCTTTGTTAAACGCGTCTTGTTTGTAGCTTTCAAACGAGTGCAAACACTTTGCAATTAACCTAAATAATGACATATAAATAACATTTATTTGTAAATAGTGATATAAAATGATCATTTTATAAAAGTTCACCACTGCATTACACAAAAAAGTATTGCATGTACATCTATGGTAGTAGCTTTGTTGAACGCGTCTCGTTTGTAGCTTTCAAACGAGTGCAAACACTTTGTAATTAACGAGAGTAATGATCTATATATATATATACAGATTTAATTCAAATAAATCTTTGTATATATTGTTAAAAAATGTTCATATATATATTTTTAAAATTGTCTTACGCAAAAATTATAGCACGCACAGACTTTGGGTAGCCGGTTAAGTTGTTACCAGTTACTATTTACAGGTATTTTTTCATGTTTCAGATTGCTTACAGTTATTTTTACACAGTTATTCTTTATGTTTTACCTTCCCTACATGGATGTCTAGTTTAATCTACCTATCTCAAAGATAATTCTCATACATATATATACAAATAAAAGACAGATTTTTTATGTGTATATGTGGATAATTTTTTAGATTGGTAGATTAAAGTAGACATCCATGTAGGGAAGAAAAAACATAAAAATAACTAACTTTTATTTACTGTATCTAACCCGTACTATAGTTCGGTTAGATTAATTGCAATAAAAATGCATTGATATGTTTTGAAAATGTTAAATTAAATGTTTTTGAGTAAATCCCAATAGCAGAACAATAAATATTTAGAGATTTCCAATAATTTTGGCCATTGTAGCGGCTAATGTAGCGCGCTACATTTTACTGTAGCGGTAGCGGTAGCGCCTGTTACAATCTAGTGGGTGTAGCGGTAGCGCCCGCTACATTTAGAGCATGTAGCGGTAGCGGTAGCGCCGCTACATTTCCAAGTAGCGCTGCCCAGCTCTGACTGTCATCATAGTTCTCTCAGGAAGGAATAACTTGACTGTTCTTCACGGTGCAGTAGTTAATCTATCATGACCATATACTGATGGCAAACTGACCAGGACATCATTATGTGCAGATAGTGTGTTTAAATTCCTCAAATCACGCAATAAAATGATAATGTACTATCTGCAAAATGATGGTACTAAGGGCACAATTTACATTCTGTAGATGACTTGATATTAACACTGTACGACACTATAAAATCAATTACTTTAGATTACTTTTTTTCTAATATTTATGACAGGAAAGAAGCACATAACGTCCAAATTAATTAACAATATTACCATAGAGTTGAATGAGGTGTTAGTAGCTAGAGGCAGTCTCACCTTGTCAGTAGGGGGGACGAGGCACCTGAAGAGGTACATGTAGTCAGCGGTGGCACTGTAGTTGCCGCATTCATACTGGAACTTTGCATACTTGAAGACAACATCCAGCATCTCAGGCTTGAACTAGTTAGCAAAGAAAAGCACAATTAGGTTTCATTGTCAAGTATTGACTGTTGATAATAATTAATCGTGACTTTCATCATAGTTCTCTCAAGGATAACATGACTGTTTTTCAAGGTTCAGTAGTTACTCTATCGTGAATTATAAAATTGTTGAAAACATATATAGGTATAGATAATAGCTTAACGGGAGTTGACTCAAATCAAGAGTTCAATCAAATTAACATAAAAATCAATTCATTTCATTTTTATGATGAAGTAAAAAAATTATTCTGTTTTGGTGTTGTAGAAATTCAATGAACATAAATGAGTCTGCTTTGATCAAATTAAAGGCATTTTTGGGGATTATTAGGCAACATAAGTATTTTACTATACTTTTTTTGATGCATCAAATTAAAGACATTGTCGATAAAAGAATTTTAATGAAGGAAAATTAGAAATTGCTGCATCATTATAAAACTTTTACATCACCTAGATTAAACTAAAAATTAAATTTGGGCTAAAATGCTGGAAACTTCAATCTTCAGTTGTGAAGTATTGGCAGTAAGAAACCTAATGGCTTGGCAAGTTTGCTTGAATTTCATCCATAACACGAGATTTGGAATCAAGAATGCCTCAAAACTCACAATTTCAAGCTGTTAACCTCTATGAAAAATTTAATAATAAAATGAGGATTTATAATCAAAACAAAGAAAATTTTGAAAAAAAAAAACATCATCAAGTGCAAATTTTCTTTGACAGTTGAATTGCAATGCAGCTCATACAACAATGAATAAGGCCATGACTTTACTGGTGGATATATTCGGCCCTGACAATATTTGTGGAAGTTTTTCACATGTTCCAATACAAAATTAGGTTCCATGCAGAAGAAAAGACTATTGCCAAGACAAGAGCACAAATTTTCTAACAGTATTAACAGTTATTAAAAAAAATAAAATTTACAAATAGCAACACTAACCTTGTGATTTTCCTGCAAATAATTCACAAGAGTTTTGTAGTCCCGTGATGATTGAACTTGCTTCTGAACTTCTGGATCAGCAAAAATGTCAAAAATTTGTGCAGATTCAGTCTGAAATTGAAAAAATTTCTGAGATGTGCTGAGCATCTAAGGTTCAAGGCATAACAATGAAATGTAAACTTGTAAATTTTTTTTACGTAGTTCCTCAAATACCATTTAGACTCCTTTAACACACCCTGTGAACTTGACATCATGAGTCAGGTGGAGGTTTTTGTCACCTGTGAGATTTTTTCAATGAATAAATTTCATCAATGTGGTATAGATACACATACAATGTAGTATTTTGCACTCGCAAGAAAGCTGGTAGCTTAAGGGTTAAAAGCCTAATCCATGAACAATCACCATTTTTTCAATTTAACCATTTTAAAAAATGTGAAGTCACATGGTGTTAACATAAAAATTTACTGAACACTTCTCTAAATAAAATCCAAGGTACCGTAGTTAAAAAATTTTAACTGCCAAAAAGGAACATCCACATCATAATCATAAATTTGTCATTATTATAACATACAAAGAAATGGTCTCCATCTTAATATATACCTACACAATGCTTGTCAAAGGGCAAGTCTACCAACCTGCAGTCTCTTCAACTCGGCCACAACACGAGACCTCTTTTCAGTGAGCTCAGTGCTTGGAGGTTGGTCAGGATACAGAGAAGCCTGGATGTCCATAGCAAAATCCACCATGTTTGTGTTGGATAGCAAATCCAACTTTGTGCGTTGCAAGTCAGTTTCATTGTAAATCTGCAAAATTAGAGCATAATTAAGATCTGAATTAGTATTAATGGTTAATATTCATCTAATAAACCTATATATTCATCAATCTAGTGAATTGAATTTAATGTCAAAAAATTATATATCTTGCACCAATATTATGCAAAAACAGTAAGAATATAATCAAGGTATGCTTTTTATAGAAAGACTTCTACAAACAAACATTTTACACATAAATAAATAAAGATAACAATTTTTCACCTCTAATATTCAATCAATAAATTACAATTTAAAAATCAAAGTTCAATTTATGATCCAATCCTTTCTTCCCAGTTATGCAATGCTTTCTAATTTGCCCCTGAAGAATAAATTTACAGGCCCAGGTAATATTCAACACAAGAAGAATCATGGATATGTGATTAGATTTCTCTAATATATTACTTTTTACCAGGCTTCTCAAACACACTACTCCAACAACAATGTAAAGATATTTATTTAGGAAGAATTGATAGCATGTTTCATTAATCTTTCAATCAGAAAACCTTTCTGTTAGCACAGCTGACACAATGCAAGCATAGAATATATCTATCTTTTGAGCATCCACCAGAGCTTTCCCACTAGATGAGTTAGGGTAAATGCGGTATATTCCGACATCGTGGGTAATTCCGACACCTCTAGTTTTTCCTTTATATTAAGCTTTGTTTTAGTTCCATGCATTCATTGATGGTTGAAATAGTGACGTCATACATTTGCGCGTCAAACTACTGCCAAAACACTAGGCCTGGGCCATCAAGTGAGAAAATGTTGAGATCCAAAGAGAGACGGTGCATGCCACCCAATGAGATCATCGAAAAATGTGTCAAAGTTGACAGTTGACCTTGTTCTACCAAATAGTGATAAACTGTTTGTGTAGAAAGAATATTATGGTTTGAGACTTTTAAATACGTCTGTGAATATATTAGGAATCCTTCAAGTATACTTGTATTTGCTGATATCAAGTGGTAAATAAATTAATAGATGATTAAGTTGAGAAACGCATTTAGACACATAAAAACTAATTCAAACACAACTTGAATTGGACACACACAGCTCGTTCCAAGCTGTGTGCAAAAATTAAAATTTTCTTAATTAAAAGCTCAATAACTGTTAATTAAAAGCCTAATTAAGTAGTGCTCAATATTCAATAGTGTTCTAATTCAAAGCCGTATCGTATTCCAATACAGCTCAAACAGTGATCGGAATTCAAACACGTGGATGTCGGAATTACGGATTAGTACAATTTGAAGCGTGGTCGGAATACGTCTCACCACGTGCCAAATATAGTCACACAGTGTCGGAATATAGGGATTTTGTAGGTTCGCATTCTAAAGGCTTTTAAATAAATAAGGCGACATTTTGTGACGTTTCATTGTTGCTGGCACGTAGTACGGTGTTTTGAGAGTCACGTAAAGCAAACAGAACTCGAGTAACGCATACGGTTATTTTTTATAGATTTTCATTTCTCGATGCGTCCTTAATGTGTCGGAATATACCGCGTTTACCCTACCTCTGATCTAATTGCTGACCAAAGAAGCACAATTAGCAGTGAGATTGCAAATTCCAACTTGGAATATTGGGCAGAATTTTCTTATAATTTTGAATAAAAATGATTGATTAAAGATTGATATTTGAAAACTGCAGGTGAAAATGGGGAATTTTTCTAATTATTTACTAAATAAATGAGGAAAGGGTCATGGGAATGGGTGTTGTAGCCGCAGCTCATTAATTTAGAGATTATGTAGTGCAAAATGCCCATATGGCAACACTTGCTAGAATAAGCAATTTACGGAGACGTATCTCCGCCGGCCACTTTTACTCTGTCCGCAACCAGGGTCGCTTTACCTGTTCAGTGTTCCTAGTTTGTAAGCTTTTTGTGTATTTTCTGGTGTATTTTTTGAGATTCTCTTATATTTGTCATAACCGTGCCAAAGTTTGTATTATGTATTTTATAGGTATTTAGGGTTAACGTGGTATATTCCGACATCGTGGGTAATTCCGTCACCTCTCTAGTTTTTCCTTTATATTAAGCTTTGTTTTAGTTCCATGCGTTCGTTGATGGTTGAAATGGTGACGTCATACATTTGCGCGTCAAACAACTGCCAAAACACTAGGTCTTGGCCATCTAGCAGGAAAATATTGAGATCCAAAGAGAGACAATGCACGCTACCCAGTGAGATCATCGAAAAATGTGTCAAATCTGACAGTTGACCTTGCTCTACCAAAAAGTGAATAACTGTTTGTATAGGAAGAATATTATGGTTTGAGACTTTTAAATACGTCTGTGAATATATTAGGAATCCTTTAAGTATACTTGTAGTCGCTGATTTCAAGTGGTAAATAAATTAATAGATGATTAAGTTGAGAAATGGATTTAGACACATGAAAACTAATTCCGTCACAACTTGAATTGGACACACACAGATCGTTCCAAGCTGAGTACAAAAATTAAAATTTGCTTAATTAAAAGCTTAATATTTGTTAATTAAAAGCGTAATTAAGTAGTGTTCAATATTCATTAGTGTTCTAATTCAAAGCCGTGTTGTATTCCAATACAGCTCACACAGCAAACAGAATTCAAACACGTGGATGACAGCATTACGTATCAGTAGAATTTGAAGCGCGGACGGAGTACCCCTCTCCACGTACCGAATATTGCCACACACAGCGTCAGAATATAGGGATTTGGTAGGTTTGCATTCTAAGGCTTTTAAATAAATATGGCAACATTTTGTGACATTTCATTGTTGCTGGCGCGTAGTACGGTGTTTTGCAAGTCACATAAAGCAAACAGAACTTGAGTAATGCATACGGTTATTTTTTTATAGTTTTTCATTTCTCGATGCGTCCTCAATGTGTCGGAATATACCGCGTTTACCCTAGTGCAAAATGAATGACCATATGGCAACACTTGCTAGAATAAGCAATTTACGGAGACATATCTCCGCCAGCCACTTTTACTCTGTCCGCAACCAGGGTCGCTTTACCTGTTCAGTGTTCCTGGTTTGCAAGCTTTTTGTGTATTTTCTGGTGTATTTTTTGACATTCTCTTATATTTGTCATAACCATGCCAAAGTTTGTATTATGTATTTTATAGGTAGGCCTATTTAGTCTGGCAGAGTTGGAATCTTGTTCCCAAAAACACTAGCTAGCCTATTTCCAAGTGTATTGAAAATTTATCACTTTATGATAAATTTATGAGTTTGTCCCTACTCCCTAGGAAGGGTAGGGTAAACGCGGTATATTCCGACACATTAAGGACGCATCGAGAAATGAAAAACTATAAAAAAACGTATGCATTACGTAAGTTTTGTTGCCTAAGGGCAGCTTGCACTCAACAATTAAAATTATAAAAAGTACTAGTTCGTTAAAGATTTGTCTCTTAATGTGACAGCAAAGAACTTTTCCTTGATGCACACAATAAACACGCAATTCATCGGAGCAAGACTACATAGAACAACGAAAGTAAGCTCCCAGCATGCAACTGACAGAAACGAATGACGATCGCGGATGCGGCAGCACAAGGCATAACGTTCATATGCTCAATGCAAGAGAATGATTAATTATGATATTTTTGATAGAGGTTTGAAATATTTTCGGAAGCCTAAAACGTGAACAAATTATTTCGTTACTCTGACATGGTTGATTTCAAAATAAATATTTTAATGCAAATTCATGAGAAGCAATTAAAATATATTGAATGATGTTCATTTATATCTATAGGTGGAAGTAAATAATTACGAATCAATTTATTATCCTTTAAATAAGAATCTTTGCATTGAAACGTCTTTATGATGTGTCTACCACAATATTTGTACAATAGTATGGGTATCAAGAGTCAACGCCATTAACCAATCATTAAATGGCCGCAAATATGTAGCATCGTTCGACCTATTAGGCTATTACGGTCAATAGAACCTAAATGAACTCTGTTTATCAAAAGGACAAAAAGCTTATATCAAGCTTATGTGGTAGTAACGGAGTCCAACTAATTATTCGTATACTTAGTGCAAGAGAATGAATAATTATGTAGTTTATGATCAAACGAATGAAAACTTCTGATCAAACGAACGAAAACTTCTGATCAAACGAACGAAAACTTCTGATCAAACGAACGAAAACTTCTGATCAAACGAACGAAAACTTCTGATCAAACGAACAAAAACTTCTGATCAAACGAACAAAAACAAACTTTTTGAAGATAATTCTGAAATCATAACGTCTATTGAATTCTAATACGGATCATTAATTTTAGCATCGTATTTCCAAAAATCAAGTATTGCATTTCTTTTAATTGAAAAACATTCTTTTACATCAAAAACGAATTTTTGCTTACAGCTTCTATGATGATTGACGAATGACGAATTTGACGGTCTCACTCGTATAGCTAAAAATTTCAAATTGAACAATTTTGTCATTATCGAAGACCTCATTGATTGCAGAACTTTAGTTTTTGCAAGTGTATTCAAGAAAAGTTTCTGAAATAGTAGGAACATTTCCATTATCATTCTGAAATAGAAGCGTCATTTCCGTTCTTACATATAAACAGGATTAATAAAATACTTATCAAATCCATCCATTGTCACTCAATTTGTGATGTATAAATGACAATTTTACTTTGATTCCTATGATGCTCATTTTTACCGGTTGAAGCTGTAGAATTAAATTAAATTAAAAAATTAATTAAAATTTACTAAATCAAATTTTATTATTTAATACACTAGATGGTACAAGCTGTAGAATTAAATTCTATTAGAAAAATGTTGAATTAAAAATCTGATTATATTTTTTAAATTAAAAATTAATTTTTATTAAATTAATTTGTATTATTGATGCACTATACGGTACGTGCTCTATGTTTTATATAATGAAATAGTTTCCCATGTTAAACGACGAAAATTTTCTAAAAGACACAAAACGTTCGAAAACGCGGGATGGCAGACGAAATCATTTAGAATCTGAGGTGAAGTTAATTATAGGTATAGACAATATTGACAAAATAGACAAAAAACATGAAAAAATGTATGTCTGGATGCGTATTAATTGATATTTATAATTTGAAACAAATTTCCATCATTTAAATGTCAGTATGGAATGTGGATCAAGTCTAATTATTGTGAAATCGAACTTCACAAGACCAAAAAAAGGTGTCTGACCCCGTCTTGTCTAATGTCAACAGTCAACACAATGTTGCCATACGCCGTGAAAGTTTAGCAGTTTATCCCATCATTTCGTGTGGATTCGAGAACTTTGTGGGTATGGATGAAATCGTGAGAACTTTCTGCGAAAGATGACGTAATTTTTATTTTATTTTGGAACATATTCATTACAAAAAATTTCTCGATACGCATACACGACTAGTGTTTGCATTTGGGAAGAGTCGCCGACTTTTTATCGGTTTTTGAACCACACGCAAGCAAGATAAAGGAAGCGCGGCTGTCCGGGTGTCCGCAGTTTTTGATCTGACGAGCTCAGTGTAATGAGTATCAATTGTCACTTTGGTGGAAGGTGTAAGGTGGTAAGTTTTCGATACATTTTATTATGTTAACATGATAATATATTACCTATACAGAATTCCATACTGTCATGTCAAAGCGGTCAGACTTGACCGCTTTGACATGACCGCAACTATGCGTGATCTTCAACAAACGTTTTGTTTATTTGTTTACATTACGATGTTTATGTTTTTCTGCAAGATATTTTTGGCGGAAACGGTAAAGCAATGCGGATTGCGGAAGTTGAAAATTTTATGAAATGACATGTTTGCGAAGTGCAAACCGCGATTTTTTAATCAAACAAAAATTTATGACATTCGAGCCGCAAGATTTCATACCTACTGAAATTATATGATATTAGAGCCGCGATATTTCAGACAAAAATAGGACTTTCAATATTTTCCCACTAGATGGCCAAGACCTAGTGTTTTGGCAGTAGTTCGACCGTCGACGCGCAAATGTATGACGTCACCATTTCAACCATCAATATCGCATGGAACTAAAACAAAGCTTAGTATAAAGGAAAAACTAGAGAGGTGACGGAATTACCCACGATGTCGGAATATACCGTGTTTACCCTATGTCCCTATAGTAGGAAACTTCCTATCTTAGTCAGTACCTAGTCAGTGGTCACCACTCACTGACTCAGGAGTCAGGACTCACCAGACACCATTCAAAGTCTAAAATTATATTACCTTACTTTAAAATTATAATAACATAAGAAAAAAAACTATACAAGATTGTTCTGATTACTCAATAGATTCTAAAGTAAAACTTACCCCCCTTACGGACAAGAATTCCATCAAGGGAAATACCAAATGACGATCCAAGTATGGAGTAAGTTTATTTGTAAGATCATACTGCGCCATGTTTGAATTCGTTCGGATGCAATGTTCACTCCTCAAATCAGAAGTACCTAGGTAAAATAAAAGCAGATAGGCTAGGTACAACAAAAAGCATTCAAACACGACGAAAATTTACATAGTTACACATATATAATCAAAATATAATACATGTAACTAAGCATTTAGTAAGCAATACTAACACATACGCACCACCGGGCACCGGCAGCCACAATATACTGATATTGTAAAATGTAAGCTCTAACAATGTTTGTCAGAGACACACGCGGCGCACTTAATCTTCGATGTCAACAGTTTGTAATTTGGATTTGGGACGTGGTGACTCAGAGAGAAAAAGACTTCAGAGTCGGGCCACAGTCGGTCACAGTCAGGCGGTATAACTTTACTTAATCTTCCTCATTCGACAAGAGAGCAAACTACACGTATTACTATCACGTTAAATCAGTTATACAGTGCTTTATTTACTTCAATCATTTCTACAAAAGTATTTAGAAACAAAATTCTATAAAAAATTCACACATATATAAAAATTGTCAAATGAAATATATAACCACCTACTATCAACCAAATCGACATTTCACAAATCATGTTTATTCGAAAGATCAATGTTACACTAACGTGGATAATTTTCCAAGACAGTTTTGCGTTATATTTTCTCATTAAAAAATGTAGTGACTTAATCCGAAATTCGGAATTTAAGTAATAAAAGCTTGTGGTCATTAAATGCTATGCTATGTATTGTTTGCTCCCACAAAACACAAGATTTCGTTTGTAACATTTTAATTTGGATATGTCTGTTTACCACAAATCAAACATCCATGAATACACCGAAACATTTTTAGAATCTTAATTGCTTCCCCTTTCCCCTCCGAGTGCTCTGACCAAGTCACACATATAAATCTTGGGCGAAGGAAGGAAGGGTGTGAGTGGAAATAATGGAAGGCTGTTGTTGTAGGCACCTTTGAAAATTGGCCTGCTTTCTGTGATATTATTGCACATTTTGGACTAATAACAGTGGTTCATAAACAAACTGAAAAAAGTTGGATTTCACGCCCTACAAGTCGAAAAATAACTGGCATTCATCTCTTCACTTCAGTTAAATACTAGCGGGCTAGTCCAACATTAGTATAAATAATCCTTGAAACTCGAAAAATTTGTTTTGCCAAATCCCGTTGTCCCAAATTTAGTCATCCCGAACCCCAGTTAATTTTTTTGCTACCACGCATGTCGAGCGATATGATTATAATTCACTAACGCGTGGTCTGCCTAATAATTAAAATTGATGATTATTCGCTGGTGCTCGGCTCTGATCTTACCACAAATTCTTGTGCAAGCAAGTTAGCGACTAATGAAACTTGCGAGTTGCGATGAATTTCAATTTCATAGCGAATTTAGCTCCGATGTGGGGCAAGTTCTCTGTATTGATCGGTGGAATTTTATGGAATTTATTGAATACAATTCACTTTATCTTAATTATGATAGCATTTTAAACAGATTATTTCCAATTTCGTATGTACAGACAAAATTTGGATATTTCAGTTTGAAATATCAAATATAGTAGTATTAATAATTGTAATATTTCTAATTCAGTGTGGTGTAGTTAAACTTTTTAAATATCAGCGTATAAGTGTAGTGTCGATCCAGCACTGGGTCATGATTCACTTTTTGCGTAAAATTTGTACTCAAAATAATCTATTGCTAATGATATAAGCAGGGAAATAACTTACAACGAGGAGCCATACTTTTAAAATTCGCTAAGTGAACGTAAGTACTTACGCAGGTTACGCTCTATTTTCTTGTCTATGATTGGTGGATTTTGCTTGAAAGGCCGTCAATGATTGGCTGATGAACTTACGATATCTTAACTTTTTTTGAAAGTATGGGCCCAGGATGTTATAAACCGCACTCCTGGCCGTAGAAAACGAACTCGCTCGACCGTGCAATTGCTGTTGTGTGAAGATGTGGAGGTCCTTATATCCGAGTTTGGATAATGGAAGTCATCCTACTTATTAATAATATAGCTAACAACTTAAAAAGAAAATTCAAGCTTCCAAAGTAATTTTTAACATTTTTTAATTAATATGCTTACGTCAAATATTACCGCTCATATTAGAGCAACAAACAACAAATTGTAGCAAACAGATACTTCGAAAGATTGTCTAAAATAAATGTTTAAGTTTTCTTTACTTAAAACTTGTGATAATTTGATTACTTTGATTACATTACCTCGATACTATTTTATTACAAAAATTTTCAAGGGGATTGTCATTTCTCTGTAAAATTCTAAAGATCTTACCAAATAAAACCGGCCACACTGAAAATGAAATATCCAGTTACCGGGATCCAAACCTTATGTAATGAATTTTATTAATTATTCAATTCACTATTTATCATTTAATAAAGGTCCTTGGTTTTGCAACGTTCTGGCGTTCGGTGCCTCGCCTTCGCGATGGCACCGGCAGTATCTGCACCAGTTGTATCTTTTCATTACCTTTAGCATTCCCCCACAATAGAATAGAAGTGTCGGCACTGAAGAAATAGGCCCATGGCCAGTTGCCGATTCTTGAACTTTTCGTGACTTGATTCACAAGGGATCCGGCCTTTGGAACCCGATCTTTCCATAACTGACGATTGATTGAGATAGCTGCTGGACTTATTGCCTGGTCCGTAATTTGCTAGGCATTTTTAGACTGAACATATGCTCCTGCATAGCTTCGTCTAGTCTTATTGCCTGGTCCGTAATTTGCTAGGTATTTTAAGACTGAACATATGCTCCTGCATAGCCTCGTCTAGTCTGTTCTTGAAGGCGTTCATACTCGGAGCGTCAACGATGCTAGTAAAAGACAGCTCGGGTCAGCTAGGAGCTTGGAACGCAGATGCGGTGACGGGCTACAACACGTTTGCGACAAGTTCTTGGATCTGATAAGCCGATACAAATATAACTTATTTGAGGAATGAGTTTTGTTGTACTTGTATATTTCAAGGTGTTACAGCGTACGTAATAATATGCATTCATTAATTTAGTTGTGCTTTCGCACAAATTCTCCGTGAACGGTGCCAGTTCCTAAAATCGTAATTTTTAGTTCGTAATATCTTCAACTGCAACTAATTTGCAACCGCTTAAAACAGCATTAATTTGGATAAAAAGATTGTGACGGTGTAACCCTCAACCCCTATGAAGCTCTTCCCGTTGAACCTCTACGTGCTTCGTTTCCTATCTTTTCCAACCGCCGCTCGACTGCGCTTTAGCAGCCCGTGATGAAATAAAATTATTTGACTACAGAATCAAACTCTGAATACATTCACCGCTTATTTGTGACAGCATATTTTTTCCAAAATGAATTAAAAACAATTATTGAGTGTTCCCAGACTAAAAATAACTTGATTATAATGCATTGCTTTGCCAAAGCCGTTGAACAGGAGTTCAATTGTTACTCTTCTATAGGGAGAAATCTAGAAGAAGATTCGTCTCTACAATCTTGATATAACTTACATTCATTTACTTTAGTACAACATATTTTCGATCGAAATTACATAGCGGAGGTATTACTGACCGTACATTAATTTGAACCCAAAAACTTAATGAACGCGGATGACGCGATAACCTGGTAGGAAGTTGAATGTTATTTTTGAATTTTTATATTTTAAATATTTTTTGCTTTGACTTATCAGAGAAAAAGGAGAAAGACTCGAGCGGAAAGATGGAAGCAGAGCGAACTACTGCGGCTCGGTAATCGCCAGGTTCCTTGGTTGCATATTAAGGTAACCATTAAAAATGGCTTACAAGTCGACAATAAATAAGAAGGTCGAACACGACTAGTTCTTTTTAATTACATATGAGCCGGCTCATATTTGTGCAAATGATTTCTGTAGAGCGCCTCATATTCAAGACAAGAATTTGGTTTACAATTTATTCTCAGCGAGCAATGTTGATTCATTTCATCCTGCTAATACCAGCTAGATCGGAAAATTATTAATTATTATTCTGAATAAGGACAGTAAGCCGTATTCTCCTTTTCACCAAGGCTGGATATTTTGCGCGCAACTGTCTAGATCATGGCGATAACGACCGTTTTCTCTCACAAGCAAAAGAATTTAACGTATAACGTTTTATCTCATTACAAAGTATTTAACATGTATAATTATAGATCGCTGCAATTACAGTTGAAGATTATATTCTTAGCGCAAATAAAACACGTGTGAGATCAGTTTCATGTGATCCATGGCGCCCCTACATGCAACCACGTGGTGAAACATCAACAAATTTGTAAAAAAAAACATTCATGTCAGTACCACCGCAGCCTGTGATTCTTTTAGCATGGGCCGTTGTTAGTTGTTACATCTCCATGTAAAACTGCGAACTTTACTCCAAAATGAACAAAGAACAACCTTTCGGGGAACATTTTTTTTCTGTGATCCGGTGGGCGCCTTATGTTACTCTGATCGGACCAATGAGGTGGCTACATCTCTGGAGCACAAATGACCAGAAAAATGAAAACGTTTTCAGGCAGGAATAGGCCTGAGTGAACCTTAAGACAATCAGATATTGTCAGTCCATGAAGAACCATCCTATGTTAAACATCTCTGTCTCTGTGATCTAACTTTGAGACCAAGTTAGAGGTTGGAGTTTATGAGCAGCCACGCGTACTGCAGCAGCAAATACAAGGTGAGTTCTAGTGCATATACGATATACGTTATATATTATACGTAATCAAATACATAAAACATTGGTAATTTATTTCATTATCAGAGGTTTCTTGGCCGGTTAACATTTACATACGAAGAAACGTTTATAAATATTTAAAATTGTGTTTTTAACACAATATGCATCAATAAGTTAAAAATTTCAGGCATTGATAGTTGCAATATCCCGACAAAGTTCTAACCTTTAACTTTTCGTTAAGTTTTGAAAGTATATTTTTATGTTCATGAAGCAACAGGAATATTTTAAAAAAAGATTTGTTATCTTTCCTTTGTATGAGTGACAATTATGCTTTTATTGCTTATCGGAGGAATCGACGTCAAAAATCAAGGCCCAGCTGGTGAAAACTTATGCATTTAGTGATTTTTCGAAACATTTTCTTTTGATTTCATAATTTTTTCTAATTTCGTGATATGTAAGTAAAAACTAAATAATTAATTAGTATTTTTCAGTTACAGGAATTATGTGATTTGTTTAGAGCTTTAAATTTTACACGCAGTTACGATTATTAAAGCAACATTGATATACCAAAGCAATGGGTGCAGCTCAATTTTTCCGGTAATGCTCGTCGAATAATGTAGTATTTTTTT